TACCTACCTAACTAATAACTATCGTATGTATAATTAAATGAGAAAATAGGGCATTTGATGTCAAAACTGATCTAGTATTATAGAAAAGCGTTTGGTCAAAAATGCATAGATTGTCTACATCTAAAAAACTACAACTTAATGTCAGTAAATATAAAAGGGGACATATTCTATACAGAATGGAATCGTATAACTATATAGAAATGAAAAAAAATTCAGATTTGGTTATTTCCAATTGAATAAATAATAAGTAATAAAAATATATAATTGTTGTAATTTTAATATTAATTATAATCTTATATAACACTCTACCACCACCACAAGCATAAAAAAAAAAAAGGTGGGTAAGTGGATGTCGCTCTGCTGTACTGTAGGTTACAAGTGGGTCACTGTATAATGGATGGTATTAAATTTGAATTCAATGATACAATATCATTGTATAAGAAAAACGATTCTGAGCGAAGACGGTATGTCAGTCTAGGTTTAAGACAAATTATATACATATCTATGGTATTAAAAAAAAAATTGACCTATAATAAATTCCAAATTAATCATATCACATTATCACAATATCCATTAGGTACTTATAACACGTTATACATCAAGATCAATTACAAACCCTGATACTATCATTGATATATAATAGTACACTTTAGAAGTTTCAAGTAGGTACCCACGAATAATATTATATAATCACAACAAAATAACTAGGTTTTTTAATATGTAATTTCGTCCAAATTTGAACATAAAATGACTATAAAAATAAACTGTGATTGTATATTTTTTTAGATTTTTCGGTAAGAGAATTAACTACTTACGTAGAATCTTGTTTTAAATTTTCAATCCTTAGCTATAAAAACTGAACATTTTAGAATTTATTAATTACGATGATTAATAATTTTCGAGATTTTGAAAAATTCTGTCAAAATTCGATCTTTAAATGCTTATAAAAAAAAACTGTGCCTATGTATTTTTAATATTTTTCAACTGCTATTGTAACAATATATCAGGAGCCTTGTATTAAATTTTTACACTTTTTGGCCCAACAGATAAAACTTTATTGATATTTGTAGAAAAAAAAACTAAAAAAAATTGAAAGCTGTAAATGTCCATAAACAGCTCAAAAAGAGTCAAAATATTTTCAAAATTGTATGGTGTATAGAAAATGCTAATTTAAACATTCAGTGAAATTTTCATGTATCTACAGTTGTTCGTTTTTGAATTGCATTAAAATAAGGAAATCGCTACATGAGTAATCAAGTGAAAATCCAATGTTGTAAAAATTTGAATTTCAAACGCTCATAAAAATTTAATTTGACTGTCCGGTAGAGATTTTTTTATTGATAAAGGTAGATAATCTTATAAGGAATCTTGTGTTTCATTTTCAAATCTTAGATTTAAAAAGAAAAATTTTTAGGAATTCTTAACTCAAAATAATTTGCTAATTTTCGTGATTTTTCCATATTTTGTCAATTTTTGAACTTTAAATGCTTATAAAAAAAAATTGTGACTAAGGATTTTTAATATTTTTCATCTGCCTTTGAAACAACATATTAGGAGCCTTCTATTAAATTTTCAAGCTTTCGCAACCAACAAATACAATTTTATTGATATTTTTAGAAAAAAAACTAAAAAAAAATGGAAAATGAAAATGTCCCTAAACAGTTCAAAATAAATCAAAATATTTTGAAAATTTTATCGTGTATAGAAAATGCAAATATAAACAACCAGTGAAAATTTCATGTATCTACGGTCATTTGTTTTAAAGTTACACCAAAAACCAAATTCGATTTTGTCAAAAACTGATTTTGCGTAAAAATTCCCGTTTTTCCTTAATTTTTATGTTGTTTTTTCCCGGCGCTTGTGAAAACTATTGGGAATTTTAAATTTTGACCTCCCCAATGCACCAACGATATTCACTTTCCAATCGAACAAGATACTGAAGTCAAAAATCGAAGCATTATTTCGACTACTTATCGTGTACACAGACACAAAAATAAAAAAAAAATAAAAAAAAAAAAAAACACACATCATTGTAAAATCAATACATTCATCGTTTCACTCAGAATCTAAAATAAAAAAAAAATAGTATCATAATGAATAATATAAACAATATTTAATTTCAATAGAAACATTTTTTTTATTCTGAAGTTTACTCAATTATTGTTATATAGTATACAATAAATTATAAAATATATCACTCTAAAATTCTTTCTTTGCACTGCATACAGAGTAACAATTTACATTGCACAATTACTTTTCTCACTGCACAAAATGTGTCTCACTGCACACTAAAAAAACCCTGCCCGCATGCGGTGTTTCATCTAAATCTTACACACGTACGACGTACGACATAGACAAAATGCGTTGACGCAGTCTGAGTAGAACTCGCTCAATTTTTGTTCTAGACTAAAAATACCTATAATAAAATTGAATTCTGACAATATTTCTGAGGACAAGTCGTTGAGTTTTTTCTTTATACCCAATATAATATGTTCATTTTATCGTTTAAAAAAAGCAAAAATGTCAACATTTTAAAAATACCTTTAACTTTTCAAAATTTAAACTTTACGACTTGGCCTCAGAAATATTTTCATATTTCAATTTAATAATAGGTATTTTTACTCTAGAACCAAAATTGAGTGATTTCTACTAGGATTGCGTAAAAGCGTTTTGACTATGTCGTACGTCATGTGTTTAGTGTTAGACGTTAGTTCAAAAATTAGAGTGAATTGATCTCTTATAAAATTTAAAGGTACAAGATTATTATCTAGATTCTCGGCAATGACGTAGGGTTTTTATTATAGGTACCTATTAAGGAATTAGGTAAGTGATTTATGAGTATGAATAATTATAACTTTTTAGTTGTTCAAACAATTTACAATTTACAATTTTAAAATACTCATAACTCGCTTTAAAATTAAAATATAATGAAAAGCCAATGACACTACCTAGATAATAATCTTAACTTTAAATTTTATAAGAGATCAATTCACTATAATTTTTAAACTAACGAGGCTAAACGAGATCTACTGAGTGCCAAAAATGTAAAATGTTCCATGTTACGCACTTGTAAGACAGAGACAACACATGCGGTTACCACGTCCTCTTAATAGGAGCCAAAATAAAAATTTGACATATTGAAACTTCGAGTTACCTACCGAGGTAATTTAAAATATTTTTATGAATGATCGGGACTGAAAAAAATATTCGATAACAGGAACTTTGATGTACCAGAGTTCGAGATATGAAGTTCTACTATATTATGTACCTTTCACCTTTCAACCACAACTGTACCTGAACAATTACTATAATTAAATAATCGCTAAACGCAAACACAACACAATTAATTGTATCAGAATTCAGAGCTTTCAGAGCTTTCAGAGCTTTCAGAGGTAATTATATTACACCGTGTAATGCGTATCACAGACCAGTGACTAGTATATATACCTATAAATACTATATATACCTATATAATATAATACAATATATACCTATATACCTATACCTACTAATTTTACCATTATACTAGTATAATACTATTATAATAGCATATATATCAGTGGTCAGTGGATATCATTATTCATTACATACTATAAAGTATATACTATTTATAATCAATGGTGATATTTAGGGTTCGGATTTGAAGGCAATATAATCAATAAAAAAAGCATTTAAAATGTAAAAAAAGGTAAAAAAAGGCATTTAATTTATATAAAAAGGCAATTCATAAATATACTACAAAATAAAATAGTGAACATTTTTTATACACTTTTAAATGCACACATTTTGAGAAAAATACAAATTAAAAATGAGCATGAATACTAAACTACATTAAGTTTATGGCTATTTTGTATAAATAGATTAGGTACCTTTTTCTTTAACCAGGTTTGTCCTAAGAATTAGTTAAAAACAATTTTAAATATTAACTTACTTGAGTTATACCAGTTAATTTAATGCAAAATAAACTAGTTTGTATTAAAAAAAAAATTGACTACCATGTATTTTGATAAGCTGTCTTCAGAAAAACGGCTACGATTAAGGGTTAAAATATTTTTGTACATCGAAAACGATCTTTCTAAAGCCGAAGTTTTCAGGGCGTATTTCATACTTAAATAATTATCTAAATTAAGATTGCTACTATTGCGAATAATAAAACCCATTTGTAACGATAATACGCAAGCTGTGTATAAAATTATAAAATCAACTGAAAAACTAAACACAAAATAGGCATTTATAAGTACAAAAGGTAAAAAAAAGGCAAAAATGCATTTATAAGTAAAAAGGCAAAAAAAGGCAAAAAAAAAAAAGATCCATCCTCTAAGAAATTAAATGAAACACATTTTTGTGTAAAAATTATTTTTCTATTATGATTAATAAAAGAAAGGCATTTGCCTTCAAATCCGAACCCTAGTGATATTATATGAAGTTGTCGCGTAGCGGTCCCGGAAAGCCGTTATGTTAGGTGCCACGGAAGGGGGAAGGGGATGTGAGGTGGCGAGTGTGTAGAGTCGCGCCCGCACGTACGCCTGATCGCGTGCGCATGTGTGTTCTGTGGAGCGAGTGTCGTAGTGTATACCGTGGTCGTTCTAGGCTTTCGTTCGCTCAATCGCTCGTCGATCGCAATGATTCCCGATGAGTAGAGCTGGTGTAGAGCAGTAGGAGCACGCGTCACGACTCACGGTCCCGTCGACGTAGACGATGACGATGATGATGATAATAGATGATAATAATAATAATAATAATAATAATAATAATATTATACATAATATTATTTTGATTTCGCCGCTGCCAGTGGCGACGACAGTCAGCGAATAGTGCGTGTATGCGCTCCTCCGAGTCTGGCAGACGGCCCATCCGTCCATAGTTAAAGGCCAACAGCTGTTCATTGTCGTCTCCGGTGTAAGTACGACGCTCGTCATTCGCACTCGTCCAATACTCCATTATCTCTACCATTGGCCCCTGGAACGCAATAAAAGCTCGTCTCGACAGAAAACGACGACATGAGTGTTGAAAACCTCAACAACCACCAGCCATCGGCTGATCAAACAGGTAAACACTAAAAGCAATCCTTTCGTCCCTTCGACACAGATCGTCCGCTTGCCAGATTCGTACTTTACTCACGTCCGTGAAAGTAAAAGTGATGAGTTTTGTCCCATGTCTAGCTAGGCACGAGACCCACGGTTTGCGTACGGTGTCCCTTCGACGGGTATACGTGCTATGGCATTTTCTATTATTTTTATTTATATATAAAATTATTTATTTGATTTCTATTATTTGGTTTACAATACTACCTATAGACGAATTTCGAGCTTTTTCAACTACCTGCCTATTGTTAAATATTTTATCACAAAAAAGTAGTAACTAGGCACTAGGATTTATAATTTTTCCAAATTAATAATTCCAAATATTATATTTGTTAATCCATTTTTATAAATATTATACCTACCTAACATTTTATTTCATTTTCCTTTCCTGTCAAATTCACAGTTTAATCTAATCATAATGTAATAGAGTAATGACTAATGAGTATTAAGCTAAATTCTAAATTAATAACTTGTTATCGCTTTTTAAAAGACTGATTTTTTTTGGACATAATTATTGAAAATATTGGTAAACACAGAATTTAAACTGAAAATATAACAAAATTATATTTTAAAATTTGATCACATCATTGTCATCACTATTATTACTTATATACTATTATCATTAATATTTGTTTAAAATGCTTTTATTAGCTCTTACTTCTAAATAGTTGGGTCTTCATTAATTATTTTTTATAGGTAAACATATGAAAATGGCTATCTTTTTCAAGATGTATTAATTAGTTTTTAATAGTTCTTAAACCTTATTAATTATTTTGATAACTTCATGGATTAAAATTACTTATTAACCTTGTTGGTATTAAACTATTAAAACTATTTAATAGATGTTGAAGGAGGTTAGGTACCTATTTCAATTTTTCAACATTTATTTAATAATGTCTAGTTCATAGTTGCTAGATTACTTATTTACTAGTACCTAAATTATTATCATAAACATATTAAAATAATAAGAGTAGATAATATAAGTAAATATTATTTGTGTCATGCAATAGGCTAGACCAATACAGTTTACAAAATAAATAGATTTTTTTTAATCTATTAATGCTTGAAGATTCATTAGGTTACTTAATACTTTACTGTACTATATAAAATAACATTTTTATATGTTACTTTCCTGTTATACAGAACTACCTTTGTATGTGAAACATACATGAGTTATGCCAACTACTAAGAGTCAAAATGATGACTATTTTTTTCTTGAATTGTTCATTAATTTATCTACCAAATATGGAAAACTTTTAAATCCTAGTAGGTACTTAAAGTTTTAAAAAAATTTAAAAAAAAAAACCTCCTGGATTTAGGCTTTTAATCTCGCTTTTAATTCACTTTAGGCATATTTGTAATGTTATCCTTAAAATATTTTATACTATAATCAAATATAATAAACGTTTTTATCAATTATATTTCTTTTAAATTTTCATGGAATATGTAATTTATTGCATTTTTAAAGGTAATCTTAATTGTGTTATTAAGAATTTTTTTTTCAGTTTTAAGTTCTTCAAGCAAAAATAAAAGATCAATACTTTATGATAAAACATTTCTTGTTGACATTGTTGACAATATAGTCAGCTCAAAAGTGGAAAAGCTCATCAATTCATATGGAGGAGTAAGTTTACAGACATGTATTTTATTTTATGAAAGGTTTGACCTCAGTGCCAAATTTACTGAGGGTGCTAGTGATTTTACTTTTTATTTTGTTGACCACGAGTGAAAGTATTGTTAAATAAGAATATAAGATATAAAAAAATTCATATATTATTATGTACTATGCTCATAATATAACTATAAAATATATACCAAAAATTGTTATAAAATTTACCATGTATATACCTAGTTTTTGTATGTATATTATTTATATTAGGCATTTGGTATGTAATATATATATTTTTTTTAACAGAAAATAATTCAATCATTAGAGAAGAGTACTGATTATTTAATATCAGATATAATACAAAATGAAGGAGCAAAACATAATACCAGTTCAGAAACTAATAATGTAAGAATATTTTTTTTTATCCAATTTTACATTATTAATGTATAATGCAACATAGCACTTAATTATGTTGAAATTTCAGTGTATAAAAGATATTGAAGTAAAAAATGGGCCATCTTCCAAATGTAAAAATTCAGTTGATCTCATTAATAAAGCAAATATTTTAAATATAAAAATTTTATCCGCTAAAAAGGTTAGTAAAATAATATAATTAACAAAAATGTATTTATAATCATATTTCTTTTCAAATATAGTTTCAACATTGGCTCAAGTCTTTATTGAAAAAGCACCGTACCAAAAAAAAACCCACTGATCAAGTTGCAAGTGTACTAAGAGGAAAAGTTAGTTTAAAAATAGAATCAATGGATCAAAGTCAACGTCCTGTATTTGAATTTATACCTAAGTGGCCAGATTTAGGTGATGCATTGTGTAAGAAAAAAACAAAACATTCGGCTGAACATAAATATAATGGAGATAGAAGTGGTGATGATTACTCTTCAGATCAGTACAGGTAAATAAATGTTTTGCCTTCTTAATTTATGTGTTCTCTATTGATTACTGTGCAATCATTAATAATTATACTTACAGTACCTCAGAAATTGGTGGAATGTGTGAACTGTGTGACATGCCATTTATGAATTATAAGGAGCATATAAATACAAAAAAACATATGAGAGAAAGTCAAGATGAACATAGATTTCATGAATTAGACGAATTAATTAAGGAGAGGCCTTTAAATGTTATATTTAACCAATTTATACCCGATAAGTCTGATAAGTAAGTTGTATAATACTATATTAAAATTTAATATTATTTAATATTATTTTTCATTTAATTAGGAAAATTAACAAAGATCAAAACTCAGCTCAGAAAACACCTAATCTTAAAAACTGCATAGAAGACACAGTTATTACAATAATTGATTCCGATTCAGATAATGCTGAACAAAATAATGGGGTAAATTGTATAAACTTAGTTTTAACATTATTAATAAATCTTACTTGTAAAAAGAAAAAGAAAAAATATGTTCACTTTATTCACATAAATATTTAACATTTGAGAGGTAATAAATACTAATAGTTATTACCATTGATTATAAATACTATTTTATTGATTGTTCACTGGCCGGTTTTTCAGGGTCACAAAATATTTACTCCTGGTAGATAGTGAGGCGATGTGATTTAACAAATTAATACAAATACATATAAAAAATATTATTAGTAATAACATTGATTATAAATACTATAGTAATCATACACGACATTACTAACCACAAGCCCGCACCCAAACCACGGCCCCCTGGGTTAGTAATGTTGTGTATGATGACTATAGTATTTATAATCAATGTTATTACCAGGGCTCGTAAGTTCATGCATTGCATTTTTTGCTACACAGGAAAACATGCTAACTGTGATACAAATCCGTTTCATAACAATAGTAATAATAATATGAAGTTTGATAGTGCATGTTTTTGCATGTTTTGGGTGTAAAGTCATATTTGGCATATAGTTGATTTTTTACAGTCATTAGTGCATATTATTTCATACAAATATTATTTAGATAAATATTTGAAAAGTTTCTTCCGATTTTTGATATCTTGTTCCAATCGTCCAATATCACATGGTAAATTATAACGGTTTTTTAAATTTTTTATTGATTAATTATTTAGCTAATTAATAAAAATATCGAAAATCGGGCTTCTTACGATTGTAAAAAAAGTTCTACTCTACAATTTTTATAATAGGTATTTTTACTGTAAGCTACTTCAATAAGCCGTATTACTTGAATTACAAAACCATGGTTTTATGCCATATTTTGTCTACTAGTGCGCCCTCTTAAGTTGGAAAACATAAAAAATACACTTATAGAATATATATTACTAAATTATCTCAAAATAAAAAACCTAATATTTAATTCCAAATGTTTTCATTGTTGGTGCTGAATAAGGGTCTACACAAATTAGACAAAAATGACTACCTAATTAAAATTTATAAAGATGTCAAAGCTATTTGAACTTCACAAGTATTAATTTTATTTTTTATAATATTAATTTTGACTGTTAAATATATTAAAATAAAAAGGAATAAAATACTTTTAAAATGTATGGATTTATTCTTATTATTTTAAAATTTGGTCATGTTTTTTTTACATAATGCATATTTTGAGTTCATAATTTAAAAATGTGAAGGCATATAAATGCATATTTTCGAACTTTTAAGTGCATATTTTGACAATTTTTAGTGCATGAATGCATGCTTATTTATGCATTTTTTAGTGCATGAAGTTACGAGCCCTGGTTATTACTAATAATATTTTTTATATGTATTTGTATTAATTTGTTAAATCACATCGCCTCACTATCTACCAGGAGTAAATATTTTGTGCCCCTGAAAAACCGGCCAGTGAACAATCAATAAAATAGTATTTATAATCAATGGTAATAACTATTAGTATTTATTACCTCTCAAGTAGACAAAGTATAGTGAATATTCCAGAATTACTGGCATGACGAACATGACTTGCTGGAGAGGTATCACTGGTGTATCCAGTTAATAAGAGAGCATGCTTATTGTCAGTTATACCTAAGTGCCCGAGAGCCCCTAGAAAGGAGATAGTGATTAGAGATCGACTTGGTTTTGAGAATTTGCACAAGTTAGGAAAGTTCTGCAGCTTGCTAAATTCCCAGTCTCTAAAAATATTTTAATACAACGCAATTAACTTTAATTCCATATACCTAACTAAGTACATTCATTATGGACAATAAATAAATATCTGACTGACAGTTACGGCAGTGCCGAGGCCAGATTTCTCACACCTTGCTAGCTGATGTTTCCAAGACGTGCACCATTTATATAGAAATTGGCAACGGACCACCCATTAACTGGATGTTTAATATTTGTTCTTATTAAGTTATAAAATATCAATTATAATGTTGACATATTTTTTTCTTTTTTCAGCTTTGTTTGTTTGGTGGTAAAGCTCCAATTGCTTTTAAAGAACAAGCATCAGAAAGTTTAAAGAGAAAATACCAATATTCTGACACCGATATTTCTTTTGTACCTCAAAAAAGACCTAGTAAGTTACATTCACCAATACATGATGAAATTAATTTTTATAAAAAAACCAAACGGAAACATAAAACACATCAAAAGTCATTGTGTAAGGATATATATAAAGTGGAAGTTGTAAATAGCCATCCATCAAATTCAAATAATGATAAAATTGCATCCGATAAACCACCAGTTATAATACGTATCAAGAGAGTACAAAATTCAAAAAACATATGTCCTTCAAGTGATGTTGAAAGTCATATAACAATATCATCATCATCATCTTCATCTTCATCATCATCAGATGATGATTATGATGAAGATATCAATGTGAAAAAAATACCAAAGGAGACTATACCAGTTCATAGATATATACGTGTTGTCAGAAAACCAAGTTTTAGTAATAAAACTGAAGTTACACCTACAAAAAGCTTCACAGAGAGTCAAATATTTACATTTGAACATCCTGAGTTACGTCGAAATATTTATAAGAATTGTTCTTACTATCCTACCTACACCTGTATCCCTGACACCAAGTCTAGTGTTGAATACATTCAGGAGAAGATAGAAAATTTAGGTAATCCTAGCTTAAAATGTACATTGTCATTTAAAGATTCTTTAAAAGTCATGTCTAATATGGAACCTAAAAAAATTGGAGAATGGTTTTATAATATTCCCAAAAAAATTCAGGATAACTTATCATTCAATTCCTCATCATTAGTTCCACTTACTGAGTTGTCAAAAATTAACTCTTTTGTAGTCCCTAAACGGAATGTTAACAAAAGTTCATCATCCTCCAGTTCTATTGAAATATTGTAATTTTAGTTAATTAATGTTCCAAATGGTTTTGTGTCCTATCTGAGATCTCTTAATGTTATTTTCTTTAGGGATTATTTTTAATTATTATATTGAATTATTTTTTTTATTTGATTTTATATGCTCTCCTACTTATAGGTAAAATAAAACCTTATTTAATTTATACCTACTCAAAGTTATATCCAAAGATGTTTAATTGTTATTCAGTTCATTCATACCAAATACCATTTAAAAGTATTAAATCAATTCAAATAATGGATCTGTGCTTGATGATTATTTAACTTTAAATATTGTTTATAAATTAGTTAAAATTTATATTTTTTTTGTGGCTTAACCCCACTTTAATGTTTTAAAATATTTTATTTTATTTCAAAGTTTATGTTAATGTTTATATATGTTTATTTATTTATGTAACCATTATATTTGTGGAACGTTGTTCAGTCAGTGCCTTGTTGAAAATTATAGTCCAACATTTTTATAAAATTATTGTACATGAATTAATCCAAACGGAACCATATATAAATCGACTTTATAATACAAGGAATTTAATTTATCAGCAAAATTATTTTATTGGGCTTAGTACTCTTAATATAAAATTGTTTACAATATACATAGTTGATGATAATATGATGTATACATTTAATGGCTTCCATTCTAGTAAAACAATTATTTTTTAGGTAAATTATAAATATATTTAAACATAAAATTAAAATGATTTATCAACAAGTCATTGTTTATTTAATTGTATTTGAATAAGTTTAAGCAAAAAACTAATATTAATCCACAAGTATTAAGAATAGTCTGTTGTTAAAATGTTTTGTTTTTTTTTCAGTTATATTTTATTGTTTTGTTGTGATTTAATACATTTTTTCAAGTTATATATACAAAAAATGTTATATAAAATTTATTTCCTAGTTTTCTGAATATTTTATGTCTATTTGTTCATAATAATATTTTAATGCTATATTTTTATAAATGGTGTAAGAACGGTTTTTGTTAACCGAATTTAAATATTTTTCTACTTTATATGTCAGTGTTGACATTAGACTTATATGTTGCTAGACTGACTTTAAAGTGAAAAATCTTTGGTTATATCAAACTTTCTTGTCATTGTGAGAATACTTGATCGAGTAATTTGTTAAATTCTTCAAGTATTTGAATACAAGATAAAAATTACAATAAATAAAGTTGAAATAAATGTATCAATTTCACTAAGTCACTTTTTATATGATGGCAACTAACTATTAAATATACTACCTTATATGTTTATACAATATTACATTTTTACTAAAGCAAATGTATTATGGTTTTCTTTTTCTTTTTTATTGCCAATTTGTGTTTAGACTTGAGTGAATTTATATATTATATTTTGTTAACTATGAGTTGTGAATTTTATTTAAAAAAATATATGTGTGTGCCTTTATTTGAATTTGATGTTCTTAATTACGTATCAATATATTATTATGTTATATTAGTCAGCAAGGCTGGGCAAGTTAACTATTATTATTTAACTAGTTAAGTCAATATAGAAAAATTTAAGTTAAGCTTAAAGCTAAAAGTAACTTTTCTTTTTTTTTGACTTGCAAAAGCTACAAGGTAACTAGAAAATAAATGCAAGCCGACTTAGTTAAAAATAAATAAAGTTTTTCCATATTAAGTTAAAAATAAATTATATCTATCAATATAAAAGCTAAATATAAATAGCTTTTATAAAGCTAACATAGTAATATAATAGAGGTAGAATTATTTAATCAATGACAAAATCCAACTAAATAATTATTTTTATGGATTTGTTTACTTAATGTCAACAACTATACTAAATTATAATTATTAGAATATCATTAATTACCTACATGAATTATAATATCAAATATTATTAAATTTAGTTGTAATTTATGAATGAATATAAATATAATAATAAGTAATAGCTATTACAATTTTATAGATTAATGACGCAGAGTTAGTAACATATGTGGATAAAACGTTTTATACATAACAAGTATAATACCCCAAGTATAAACATATAAAACTTAATAACGACTAAGACATAGGAATATTAAGTATAAATTGTTTAATTTTAAATTTATATTTATTATAATAACGATAATACTGATAATATAGTTTAATAGGTACTGTGCATTTTAAATTTTAATAAGTATAAACTTATAAATGTCAACATCAACTTGGAGAATTTTTTTAATTTAGAATAAAATTTAAATTCATAACAAAAATAATTTCTTTTTATTTATCATAAAATAATCTATTATTTATTATTAATATTAATGTAGTTATTAATAAAGAATAAAGATGAACTTACAACCCAGTAATAAATATAACAAAATTAAAATTATGAGAAATGTCTTTTGTTATTTTAAAATATTAATAATTATATAATTATTAATGCATTTTATAAAGAATAGAGATGAACTTACTAGTTTCTACTTACTACTTAGTTATTAATATAACAAATTATCACAAATGTCTTCTTTAGTTCTTTGGTAAAATTTAGGTTGGGTATTAAACTATTACATATTAATAGTCAATACTCATTTGGGTGGTTGTTTTTTTCTCCTATTTTAAGTAGTTTTATACTGTATGTTTTGTACGTTTTATACTTACGTATAATACGTGTTGTATACTGTATTGTATTATACGTTCCAACCCTGTTAATGTGTATAAACAAACGTGTATGGGATCCTGAGTAAAGTTATATTTATCTTTTCTTAATGATATGGTTATCCCTATTACTTTTCTGTTTGTAATATATTATATAATATATTCTGTGAATATGCAATATTAAAACCACTATTATAAATTAATAGCCAATAATAGGTATTACTAATTATATGTATAATATATTTAATATATAAAATGCCTAGGAATTCTATATAATAATTGGTGGTTTTTAAAAAAGTGTATAGTAAATTTTTTTTTACACACATTTCCTAAATATTTTGTATAATAACTAGACATTTCATAAAATGACAAACAAAAAATTGGCAATCTGTAGAATAGTGATATAACCCAAATAAATAGATTTCCTTCTATCATAATATTAAGATAATTATTAATTTTATTAGTGCATAAAAAAATATTTATTACAAAGTAAGTATCATTAATATTACAGAATATAATGCATGAAAATTAAAAAAAAAAAAATTTGTAAATTGTATGGGTACTAACATGCAGTTATTAATTATTATTACTATTATATTACAAAGTAGGTATCATTAATATTACAGAATATAATGCATAACAATTAAAAAAAAAAAATAATTTGTAAATTATTATTAGAGTATATGACTACGGTGACAAAATTATCGCGTTATCTGTCGGCAGTCGGAATTCTACTTTATATATTACAGATTACTAATGGATTTATATATTGTCAAATATCAATAGGTACTGATTATATGGATTTAATATATTACCTATACATTGTTTGGCATTTCATATAATGCTTAGGTAATTTAAACAATTTTATAGATTGCCGGCTGTATTTGGTGTTATATAGAATTCCTAGACATTATATAAAATACCAATATTATACACATAGCCGCTAACATATACATAATATTTGATGGGCACTACCAATTATTTATTTTTATAATTTTTACAAATGGAATATTTAAATATATTTTAAATCTGCAGTCTTAAGCAGTGGAGTGCTGAACGAGATTTTATGACGCCTGGGCGTCAAAGTGGAATTTTTTTTGGGGGTGTTCTGGTGGTTGGATACATTATGGTAACCAATAACATAAGACATAAATTAAAATATTTACAGTCGCATAATAATTGTATGTAATATACATTATATTAAGGAGATAAAGAGTGGGTAGGTACTGAAATATAAGCTGGGCATCATGGTTTATAAATGTTCAGCACGCCGCTGGTCTTAGGGAAAAAATAACTTAACGTGACAGTAAAATTAATTAACTCGTACGTTACTTCATTACTTCATGGGATAAAGTTTTAACTCTTGAGTTAGAACTTCTAAAAAAAAGTAACTCTTTAGGTAACTTAGTTAAAATTTTTAAGCTATGCTAGGACTGGAACTAGATTTACCAAAAAGAACTGGTAGTTTTTGAACATATAGAAACTGTTATCTTTATTAAAATATTCTATAAGCACTACAACTATCAGTGCCACATTTAGAAATTTTGCGCCACCCCGGTGCAAAAAAAAAACTGGAGCCCCCGTTAGGGGCCTAACCACAGGAAATATGGGAGATAGATTTTGAGTAAAGAAAAGAATACTTGTTTTACAATAATGTGTGATTTTTATTTTAAATATTGTTTAATAATTTTATTAACCCTCTCCCCAAGATACAATTAAGGGTTGCCATTTGCTTTATAATTTAACATATAAGTTGATTTTTTTTGAACATATTTTAGTGCCTATTTCATGGAACATATTAATATATTATTATGAACAAAATAAAAATACATTTAATAAAACTATATAAATTATATGCAAATTAATATATTATTTATTGAAACATGTTTGAATTTGTCAATTACAAAACGTTTGTTTACGGTTTTGATACCCACTTAACTTTTTTTTGCCATCATAATTAAAGTACTATAAAACAAATATATAATAAATAATCAACAGAGCTAAGTACCGAGTAGGTAGTGAAAGAAATATTATTTGTACTCAGTAATCACAGATTTCACAAATGCTGTAACTCGAGTTTGTTAACTAACAATTTATCGTACTTTTGAAGTAGATATAGCATAGCGATAGAAAAATTATTATAAATTTATAAATAACTAGTCTCTTGAATATTTGAATCACAACAAAATTGGGAAAAGAATTATGAAGACGCTACAGTGCTAATGAGTAATTACACAGACATTTGTTGTCTCCGTCTTACAAGTGCGTAACATAGAAATAATTTCACACTGAGCAGCAGATCATAATTAGCTCCGTTAGTTTACAAATTATAGTTAATTTATAAGCCTTATAAAATTCAAAGGTAAGATTATTATCCAGGCCATCTCAATATCTCATACACTTTTTGTTATACAGGGTTATTCAAAATGATTCATCCAATTTAAAATGGCTATATAAAGATCTGACGCCATGTGATTATTTCTTTTGGGGATATGTTAAAGACACTGTGTACATACCACCACTGCCATCAAATCTAATTGAATTGAAAAATCGAATAACAACAGCCACGCAGTCTATGCTGCAAAAAGTATGGTATGAATTTGACTACTGACTAGATGTTATTCGTGTAACCAAAGAAGCTCACATAGAACATTTATAGATACAGTTAACTAAACTTGACATATTTTTCTTTTATTTAATGTATAACATATTGTTCTAAATCTAAAAAATAAAATAATATAAGCACTTAAAATCGGATGAATCATTTTGAATAACCCTGTATATTAACTAAGCTAGTAATGAGTATTTTAATATGTAGGTACAAAAAATGTACAATTTTAAAATACTCATAACTCGCTTTAAAATTAAAATATAATAAAGCCTATGAATTCTGTAGATAATAATCTCACCCTTAAATTTTATAAGACGGTTTACTCTAATTTTTAAATTAACGGAGCTTGCTGAGCTTAAAATATTGCTATAATACGCACTTGTGAGACAGAGAGCACGCATGCGGTTTAATGCTCTCTTAATAGAAAATGTATACTCAGTAATTCACGTTTAGCTTCATTAGCTTAAAAATTAAGAGCGAATTCAACTTGGGTATATGAAACTTAATGGTTAGAACACTATCTTTGTTTGTATGTTGGTTTCATATGATGAATCAGTTTTCTAAAAGGGACCTCCTTAACTGTCCAAAACAAAATTTGATACCACTTATACAAAAACATGTAAAATAACATCTTTGATTATGAAAATCACGAAGAACACGATGTACAAAAAAAACTATAACACTAGATGAGATATATTCCTTTATTATAATCATTAAACTTATTATTTATTTACAAAACAACATGAAAGTACTTAAATTAATTATTACTGTAAAAACATCATTTATTCCTTAAATGTGTAAAAAAAAATTGAAAAAAAATTATAATAATATGTATAATTAACATTTATGTATGTTTCAAATTATTAGGATTTGTTTCAGTTTTAAATATAATTGTATGGTAATATAACAATATGGTTATAGGTTACAGGTTTATTTTGTTAATAGGCAGGACCTTTAATTATACATAATAAATAACTATATATTGACTGAATGTAAAACTTAATAGTATTTTATTTCTCCCATACTTTTTAAAAGGTAGAACATAATCATTCTAACTTATAGTACTAAAATAAAAATGTTTTCCTTTAATTCTTTCTTTGCTTTTATGTACAGTTGTATTATATTAATATATTTAAATTACCAAATATGATTATTCTTTACAAACTTAGAAAATATTGTTATTGTTCTTGTTCTTGTTCTTGTTCTTCCTCTTCCTCTTCCTCTTTATTTTTCTTAGATTTTCTTCTTTCAGCAAGCCTTATAGCTTTAATCAAAACTCTTTTTTGCCTTTCTCTTAGCATTCCTTCAGATTCTAAGTTCCTAAATAACATAAATTTATTATTAAATTTGCTTTTAAAATTTATATATTATATTAATACTTTTTAAAGTACATTTTATAATTAGAAAATGTTTTCTATTTACACTAATGCTGTTATTATATTGATTAATTTACCATCATCACAACATCAGTAATATATTATATTATACTATATCGACATATTGGCCAAACAAATACTGATATCGTTAGAAAATATTTGGGCTAGACCAATGACGATTTTGGTACTTTTGAGTAAAGGGTTTTTTCCGGCAATGGGAATTGCAAATCAATATGTATATCAAGATGGACGTTATAACAATAATGCTATTTTTGGATGTTATAGAAATAATTTATTTAATATTGTAATCACAACAAAATCACAATTTGAATTGAACTACGTGTATCTACCACACAATTTAAGATAGGATGATTGCCCAATGAGCTATGATAAGACGGCATACAATTTAAATCTTGCTCTCGGTGCTGACCCTTCTTGTGGACTATTTTATAATTTATAATATAATACGATCATTATCACAGACTAAGATATATCTTATCAGTGTCATACATATTTTTATTTTATACAAGTATAACACAATAATTTTTATTAGTTTTCATTTTAACCAATATGAGTGCTATATGTGGAAACGGTCAATAATTTTTAAGTGAGTTCTCATGTAAAATACTAATATTTGAAAATGGTCTTAATTCACTTAAAAATTAAAATATCGTAAAACATCAACAATAGAACACAGTTTATGTTCTTACATTTAAGTTTGATAATAGGTCAATAAAATATAAAGTATCACTCTAATATATAACTTTTTAAGCTAATAATCCAAAATTAGAACCGCTGGACATACATTTTGGTATAATATGTATTAGTATGAAAGATACAACCATATGCGGGTACGGTGTCATCTTAACCTATTTGTTCCATAAACATATTAACACTGAGCTATTGTTATGTGTAGAGAGCCTATATAAGAAGAGTGGCCAACGGTACTTATCAGGATTATATAGAGGTCGCCATTTACGGTCCACATTGAGGTTATGATAAGATAAAATAAATTGTTATGACATTTAGGCATAGAGTAATTATATTACTCTAAGCATTTAGGGTATTTTATCATACCTAAATCAATAATTACAATATTTTGGTAATATTATTGGCAGTGAAACACTGATGGACCGCAAGTAACGGTCCATATCAAACAGTCAATTAGACGGCATTATTCTCTTCTTATATAGGCTCTCTAGTTATGTGGTATTGACTCAAAATTAACATTATTATTATAAGACATAGATATACAGTATTACAATGATTAATTTCATATTAATAATATAATAAATGCAATAATTAAAATCAACAAACATAATACTCATTGGAGAACAGGTATTAGGGAATTTTCTAAGAACTAGTTTACTTTTCTCTTTTGTAGATATGGAAAGAAATTCAAGAAAAAAGTTATTTAATGTAGAATACCAGTCTTGAGGATTGACTGACTAGTAGAGCATCAAGCAATTTATGTAAATAATAATAAAATATTATAAGATTGATATTTATGATTTATTGAAAATTATTTAACTTACAGTACTGCATATTTAATTGATTCCAACACCTTCCGATTTGGATTAAAAGGTACTAATGGTTCAGCTTCATCATCAGTACTTTCATATTCGGATGATGAATAAGAGAAACCATATTTTTTAACTTGCAATGCTCTCTTGGCCTTTTTTTTCTTTAATTCTTCCCTTAACGCTTTTTGTTTTGCATCAACACGTTTTCTTTTGGCAGGTTTTGGTTTAAATATTTCAGGTATAGATGGGTCTAGTTGTTTTGGTAGTGATAAAATTATGGCCCCATCTTCTAACTTAGGGTTTTCCAAAGTTTTTTTTTTTGCTTCTTTTAACTGGGCATAGCATGCATTTATGTTAGAACCACTAGTACTAGCCACACATGTTATCCCTTGAGAACCACTAGTACTCGGTCGAGATGATATTTTAAGAGCCTTTTGCAAATCTAAAAATTCTTGCTAATACAGAAAACCTTATTAATCCAAAAACAATAATAATTATTGATAACAAATAGTAAATTATAAAACTCACAACTGTATAAGATTTACCAGTAGATGTAGATGGAGTGGGAGCCTTTGGAGTTTTTAAAGTCTTTGGAGTTTTTAAAGTCTTTGGAGTTTTGAAAGTATTTGGAATTTTGAAAGTATTTGTAGGTTTGGGACCCAAACCACTTATTTTCGAATGAGTCAAACCATTTATCATTGAAAATCTGAACATTCTATCATCTCTGAAATGTTTAATTATTATTTTCAATAACAAGATTTTGAGAATTTTCTACATCCTTGTTGCACAAATATTTAAATCAAATTTTTTTTTTCTGTTTTATATTTGCAAATGTATTTAAACATAGGTTTTAGAAAAGTAAAAAAAAAAATATATAAAAAATAATATTACATCTAACTATGATGACAAATAAGATCAATTGTAATGTTAAATACTTAGTCAATATATTGTTGATACATTATTAATTATACTGTAAATACTGTAGTGGTTACTTAATTGTATTTATTTAAGTATACTTCTATGTCCTGCCAAATAATTAAACATAATATGTTGACTAAGTATTTCATTACAATTGATCTCATTGGTCATCATAGTTATTTGTAATATTATAAAATGGTATTTTACTTAATTTACATATTATATCACGTCTTTTAAAGATTTAATCATTCGAAAAGACCGAAAAATAGAAAAAAAATATTTCACAAGTGGTAAGTTTTTTGGCGACATCCCACCGGAACCGGAAAGAGGTAAAAATATAATTTTTAATTACAATAACTTAATCTTCAGTATAGTATTACCTATTATTTACTCTCAACCAAGTATCAGCTTCTTTCACTGCTCCATCCCACGCTTCCATTTGCTTCTTACTATTTTTTAGGAACGCCTTTAAACATTAAAAATTATTAAAAAATAAGTACAATAAATAATTTGATAGTCGCATTTTATCTAAGCTACTATGTATAAAGTAAAGTGATAAATTTCAGTTAGGTTAGGTTAACCTTTAAATATATGATATGATTAATAAAACAATGTCATAATTTTAGTACTATGAGATTTGGTAACACCAACAGGCATTTAAATTACTTAAAATTAATATTTTTTATAATTAATAACATATTTTAAATTATAATTTATTCATGGGACTAACTTTAAAGTAAATAAAATAAATCAGCAAAATATCAACATAATAGGTAATTGATTGTTTTTATGTTGCATTTCCAATTACAGTTTAACTTGATGAACTCAAAATCGTCAACACCATTTCCCCAGTTCCTAATAATTAGGAAAAACAGTTTATTTCACACAAAACCAGTTTTTAACAATAATCATTTTCGTGTTTAATTGTACCTAATTTGAAAACGAATTGCTGTAGATGGTTGAAATTTTTACTGTATGTATTTAGCATTTTTATAAATTTGAAATTCTTTTTTATTATCTTTATTTTCAATAATTGAAATAAAAAAAATTTGGCAAAATTCACAGATTTTTTGAGTGTGAAATCAAGCGTTAAACAGAATTTTCTGTTCAAATTTATTTTTACTTCCTAGGTATATCTATTCGTTGCAATTAGAATTCAGAAATTGGCAAAGGTAACATTTGTAATTCCATAATCACAAATATCATAATATATTTTAAATGATTAAAAATATTTTTTTTTAGTACCCATATGGATTTATGTAATAAAATACTTACAAACTCTCAAATATATTAAATTATTAATGTTAGTACCTATGCTTTTTATAATAATAATTGTATATATGTTTTTACGTAACCTTATAAAATCATTACAAAAAACGAATGAGAATACAATGTTTGAGGGAATGACATATCAATTTGTCTAAATATGGTGTCAAAACAAGTTAAACATTATTTAAATTTACAATTTTTTTGAATTTGAAAGTCGAATGCAAAATTAATAAGTCATTCCATCAAAATATTATTTTCTATTTTTGTAAACACTAAACTTACTAAACCATTGGGATATTTTGAAAGAAACTCTTCTTTTCCAGAATACACTTCTATGGTTTTGGCCCAACTTCTTCTGCCATGATCATTACAAAATCGTACGTGTAATGAAAATTGTTTTTTATTCTCTAAAAAAATACAAAAGTACATTAATATAAAATTAGAGCAGTAGGACAGAAGAACTCTTCAGTAGATATCAAAAATAATGTTTGTGTAACTATTGTATACAGAGAAGGTCTACTGTCTACTTATAAGGCAAATTACGAACAAAACTCACAATATCAAAGTATTCAAGATTTTTATAAGTTAGAAATTCTTTAGAAATATTTATAAAATATTGAGAATCTATTAATGCCGATTTTAGACAAACCAAGTTAATAAACCTATTTATAAAAAATATAATACTTTATATCTTCTGAATATGAATAACATTAACATAAAATGCATACCTGATAAGTTATGTGAAACAAAATTTTTTGCCGTTTTTAATTAGAATTTGAAATTGTAAAATAATTAAATAAGTATATTTAATTTTATATCACTAAAATGTTATTGAATACAATATAAATTACTTACCAAGTGATCCTTTAATGTACACATTGGTTTCCGGATCGTAACAGACCATGCTGGGCCAAAATGGATAACTTCCAAGTTTAGCCCAAACAATATCACCAATTTCAAAATCTTTTTTTTTTTCATCACTAGGAGTAGAAGATTCATGTTCCACACTTTCCATATTCTGATGTACAGGAATCTCTTGTTCCACACTTTCCATATTCTGATGTACAGGAGTCTCTTGTTCCACACTTTCCATATTCTGTTGTACTGGAGACTCGTGTTCCACACTCTCCTTATTCTGTTGTACTGGAGACTCATGTTGCACACTTTCCATATTCTGTTGTACAGGAGACTCATGATCCACACCTTCCATATGTTCTATCTGTTGTACTGGAAACTCGTGTTCCACACTCTCCTTATTCTGTTGTACTGGAGACTCATGATCCACACCTTCCATATGTTCTATCTGTTGTACTGGAGACTCATGTTCCACACTTTCCATATTCTGTTGTACAGGAGACTCATGATCCACACCTTCCATATGTTCTATCTGTTGTACAGAAGACTCATCTTGAAGTAATAATTTAGATTTACCATGTAAGTTAGATGTATCGGTCAGTACATTATTAACATGACTTAATGAGCTTGTTGAACACGGCAATTGATCATCTTCAGTAGAATTTGATTTTTTATCCACTACAGAATCAGCCATTGTACCACTTGATTAATCTGTAATAAAATTAAATATTTAATCATAAATTATCTTTGTAATATATAGGTAAAATATCGTAAAATATTGAATGAATTATATATTGTAGATCAAATAATTATTTAATAGTATCACTATCAAAATTCAATATTAATTCTTTTTACATTAATTAATTTATTGGATATTAAACTATACCCGGGATATAAAGTAGGACTTAAGATTTTAATAGAGATAAAATAATATATTATTCATATTTTATAAGTGCATAATAAGTTAATTTATTTCATCCAAACAAAATAACAAATTTGATAGGTAGGCTGTTGTGAATATGAATTGTTGACAAAACTACAAATAAGTGACACCTGTTCTCTAATATTTCATTAAAAAATAATCATATACGATATAGGTACCTAATATACGACATACCATATTAAATATGTGAACAGTCATTTTCCTAAAATTATGTAGGTATTTAACCCGAGAGAAGCGTCAATGATATTTAAGACCAGTAATTTTTGTTTTGGTGGTTATTAAATATTGTATTATTTTACATATTGGTAATTACTAATTAATAACTACCTATATCTTTAGTATAAAATGTGTACAATGACACTTTAACGCAGTTTTAACCTTTTGAGTCCCGCTATTGGAAAAAATGAAAAAAGTTAAAATTTTTTTTGACAGAATTTTTTATTGTGGTCCAACTAAGGTCTCTGATTTTTTTCAAAATTTTTTTTTAAGCCCTTCACTTACTTTTTTGTCTGGGACTTCAAAGTCCCGTCAGGGTGATACGCATTACAAAGAAAATTAATAACAAATCATAATTTGCATTAAAAAATACGAGAAATCTACTTTTGATAATATAATTTTATTTAAATCGTAAACATAAAAATGAACGGACTCCTTGCCAATTTTTACTTTGTTATTTTACAAAAAAAAAAAAAATAATAATACATTGTAGAAAAATTATTAAAAGTTTTGTAAATAATTTTAAAAATTATACAATGTCAACTTGATGGTATTCTACAAAACAATTTTTCCTTTCATTGCAACACAGAAATACTCGGCAGTGGTTACACGAAGAAAGTGGCCGGGACTCTACTCCTCGAACACTGCAAAGTTCACATCTACCTCTCTTTATACCAAAACTTGGCCAATGAATACCCCTGTGATAAAATAAAAATCAACTATATTATAATATTATATTAGAAGTATAAATAATTAATAATGAAATAGTTTTATTATACCTGTTGCCTAATCTGACGTCTTTGGAGTTGGATAAAGTTTTCTTTCTTCGATTTGATGGCGTTTGTGGAGCTGATCTTTTCAGGCTTATAGATTTTCTTGATGGAGTATTTCGAGCTGTCATCAGACCAAGGGCAACTGATCGACGGAAATCAAATACATCCGTTTTTTCAAACATTTGGCAATAAATGACATATGCATTTACAAACGTTATGTCCAACAGTCCCCAAAAAATCCTAAGCCACCACTTTTTGGACTTACGGTCAACGTTATATAATGCCCTCAATCTGTCTGCGTGATCAACTCCACCCATATATTTGTTGTAGTCTTTGATTGGATTTGGGCATGATATGCTCAATCTAGAGCCATCTTTCATAGTCCTATCAACAGATGTTATTTCGTTACCGTGATAGTTTGACCCAATATGTACCACTTTGTTATCTTTCCATTTGAATATTCCAATACCTGAAGTAGAAAATCGGTAGTCAAATTCTCCCCGAGGTATTTCAGAATCTTTTTTGAAATTTTGTGGCATCCCTTTCCGATTTTGTCTGATTGTACCACAAGCTAGTGTTTGTTGCGTTCTCAACTTTTCAAGGAGTGGAATAGTTGTAAAATAGTTATCGAAAAATACAAGTCTAGATTCATTCCAAAATGGTTTTGTCAACTGCAATACAATTCTTTCTCCCAAATTAGTGTTTTCGAACTCTTTTTCTAACGTTTCGTTTTTTCCTTGGTACACCGAAAATTTCATAATATATCCGTTCTGGTCTGCAATACACCACAATTTGTAACCCCTTTTTATGGGTTTCATTGGATTATATTGCTTTATCGTACTGCGACCCTTGAATTTAATCATGGACTCATCAACACTGAGTTCACGTGTTCCAGATGAAGACTCCAAAAATATTTGGTTCAAACTATCTATCATAGGACGTAATTTGAACAATTTATCTTTATTGTTCTGAGGAATATTTTCATTATTATTGACGTGAATATTAGATAGTATTTCTACAAATCGATCTCTTGTCATAACTTCAGAAATAGCGGGCACATTTAAATCTTTGGCCCCCTTCCAATAATGTTTATATGAAGGTAGTTTATGATACCCCATACAAAAATTAATTCCAAAAAAAGAGAGTAGTTCATTTTCTCGTAGATTGAGATTTTTATTTTTTTGAGTTGCGTACAGATTACTTTGGTCCAAAATGTTTTCTATGATAGGATTAATAAGTTTTAAAAAAATATCCGTTGCCGTTTTACAGTCACCAAACATCACTTGGTTGTAACCTAAACTTTTTTCATAATCTGGTAAAGCTGCTGTAATTTCATTTTTTTTACGCCATTGCCTATTAACTTCAATAGGATCTGGAGAATTATTAACAGGAAGTTCTGTAGTAGTATTATTATCGATATGTTCTGGTGTGCGTGTAATATCAGTCATAACATGATCAGAAAAAGATTTATTGGACAAATTAGTTGAATTTGATAATCGTGGTCTCAAAGTTCTAGAAGAGCTTGGTGTATTAGTGGTTTTGAGACTTACGTCATCAGTTTGAGGGGAAAAGTCAAATTCCGGAAAATCAAAAATAATAACATCCGAATTATCAATTATTAATGGTTCTTTGTCATTATTACCGGTTTCACATTCACTTTGCAAAAAAAAATTACTAAATTCAATTACCTCTTGTTGGGCTTGCTCATCGGTATCACCATCATCTACATCATATTCGTCCTCAGATTCTGGATCATCCGGAACATCCATTAATAGCCAATCTTCGATATCTTGATTTTTTTTGCTTGCACTCATTTTTTAAAAAAATAAGTCGAAAAAATATTTTTACGATAAAAATTGACGACGAAATATACGAGACGTGCGTACGTAAGACTATATTATATTGCAAACACACGACCGGCTGTTTTATGACTGACGAATACTGACGGGATATATGAGTCCCGCGACAAAGATGTTGATTAATTTCGTAAATATAGACAATATGACGACCAAACATATTTTATTTCATTGTTGAGAAGTATTGAAAAATAAAAAACGATTAGCGTCGTCAGTAAACAGTTTAAATTCAAATAAAAAAAATAAAAAAAAACAATTACTGGCAGATAAGAGTACGGTTGGGTTTCCACTACTACAATGTAAAATAAATAGTCTAAAAATAAGTATATTTCACTTTTTTTTTTTTCAACGTGTATTAGACGGGACTCAGATGTCCCGCCAGGCCAGAACATAACGATATCTAATAGCATATATTTTCTATTACCGATTAAAGTGTCCGGGACTCAAACGTCCCGCTAGTACCGAAAGGGTTAAATCCATATTATATTATTGTTGTCATAAATACTATGCCAGGATGTCCAGACTGTGCATAAGAAACCCAATCAGATTTAGATGAGTGAAGAATAATTATTTATTTGTATAATTTAAAATTGGTTTTAAATCATATGAACAAATAATCTTGTTCCTTTGATAGGTAGTCATTTTTTAATACCTACTTCTATATAATGCACCTAGCCTATAAAAATAATTTATTTAATCTAATAAATCATGCACCTGTTATTTATTGGCTGTTGGGTTTTGGGCATGGTCTTTAGGGTCTAGCTCTAGCTCTATAATAGTACCTATATAATGTTAAAAATATCAAAATTAAGTTACCTAATTAACTTTTTAGCAATATTTAAGAGCTTTTAATAAATCATTTAAAAAACACCAATAATTAAAATATATATTTTTAATACATGTATATTAGGGTGTTCCTTAGTTTTCAAATTTAAATATTTTTTTGGCTCACCCCCTAAAAACGTGTGTATGCATATAGAAATGAATTACGAAAAATTTTGAGGCAATCAAACAAGGTTAACCCGTGCCGAATTGTACCTAAAGTTTGAATTAATTCAGTTTTATCGAAAAAAAAAAAAATGAGTTTATTGTGATTTTGGATAGTCTTTTTGATATTGCGCATTCGGATGCATTAAATATAATAAAAATTGACGAGGATAAAGAATTTTTAATAAACCAACGTCTTCCCGGGCGACCTGGATGTCTTAGTGGTGTTGATAAAAAAGAAACAATTAAAGAAAATCGTAGAGAAATCCGAAAATCTATGGAATTAAACAAACAAACTTGTTGTAGTGAGCTGCAAGTGCAAATTACATCAACTTTGGTATTTAATTCTATGCAGTTGAATGAAAACCTGGAGAATGAGACTGATAGTTCAGAAAATGACGAAATATCTGACACAAAAACAAGTGTTGCACAAGAAACACAATTGTCGAATAAGGCGACAAAAAATACATTTTATTACACAAAAATTAGCTGGGACTTTGGATAGGTGCAAATTAAGTATTCATGACTCAGTTTACGTTTTACAAGCAACATTAGAGGCATTAGGATTCGACAACGATGGTTATATAATCAATTCATCAACTTCTATTCATAGAGCACGAGAAATGCACCGTTGTGAACGTGCTGAAATGATAAAATCACGGTTTCAAGAATCTCGCCCAAGTTATGTTATAGTTCACTGGGATGGAAAATTATAACCTAATGTTCACATCAAAAATACAACAGTTGAACGACTTCCAATTATTGTAACTAGTAAAAGTATTGAACAAATCATCGGAGTTCCAATACTTCAGAGGTCAACCGGTGAAGAACAAGCGACCGCTGTATATAATGCTTTAGATGAATGGGGTTTATTAGATGTTGTGCAAGGTTTATCTTGTGATACTACTTCATCAAATACAGGCCGTTTGAATGGAGCATGTATTCGTATTGAACAAAAATTAGACAAATATTTACTCTACCTCCCAAGCAGACACCACATATACGAGTTGGTGTTAAGAAGTGTTTTTGAAACTAAAATACCACAAGTAACTACTAGCCCGTCTATTCCATTATTCAAAAATTTTCAAAAAAAATGGATTGATATTGATTCTAGTAATTTTATAAGTGGATTAGGAGATCAATATTGTAGTAGTGCCATAGAAAATATCAGGGAAGATATTCTTAATTTTGTACGAAGTCAATTAGAAATAAAAAATTCTCGCGATGATTACAATGAGTTCTTAGAATTGGTACTAATATTTATTGGTGGAAATTTTGAAAAAAAAATTAAACCACCGGGTGCAATGCATCAAGCTCGATGAATGGCTCCAGCAATCTATTGCTTGAAAATATTTATATTTAGACATCAGTATCATATTTCTGCCACTGAGAAAAAAGCAATTGGGAAAGTTTGTATTTTCATCGTTACATTTGATGTCAAAGCGTGGTTTACTTGTACATTGCCAATAAAAGCTCCAAACCTAGATTTACAATTTATTAAATCTTTAAAATCCTACGAAACAGTTGATAGTAAACAGTCAAATCTCTACAGCCGCTATCAAAAAATTATGTAATCACTTGTGGTATTTAACTGATGAAGCTGCTGCCCTATCGTTTTTCGACAAATCGATACCTTTTGAAACAAAACATTTAATGGTAGAAGCTCTTAAGAAAAAATCATCCATTAATTCGACTAAACAACTTACACTTCAACCATATCAGATAGATGAAAAATTTAATGGTGAGTACATTATTTAAAATAATGACATTAATAGAAAGTTAATAATAATACAAACTAATACAATTTATTTTTGAAATTATTTTTACATTTTACAAAAATGAATCTTGATAAATTTATTTCAGAAAATAGCTTAAAACTATTCACCAGATATGGTATCGATACAAGTATTTTACAATACGATCCTAAATCTTGGGATAACCATATCAGTTTTGTTAATGGCAAAGAATTAATAAAATCTCTAAAAATAGTCAATAATACAGCTGAGAGGGGCGTTAAATTAATGGCAGACTTTAATGAAGCGTTAACAGTCAACAAAGAGCAAAAACAATATGTACTACTATGTGTTCAAGAACACAGAAAAATGTATCCAAATTGTAAAAAGGAAACATTAAAACAATTATATTAATTTAAATCATTAAATATATACTTCAATAAATAAAAATATTTCATAATACATTAACTCTGATGAATATTTACCATTAATAATAATATATTTAATGTTTATATAGTTTTAATACCTAGTAAACATTTAGAGAATACGGTATTTTTATATATTTGAGTCAATATATCTCATAAACAGTAGTAGACTGTATTAAAAACTTGTTAGAACATAATTTATAGACAATTTTGTTCTATTTAAAAAAAATATAAACAATTCTCATAAATATTCAATAAAACTTTAGGTACAATTCGGCATGGGTTAACCTTGTTTGATTGCCTCAAAATTTTTTGTAATTCATTTTTATATGCATACACACGTTTTTAGGGGGTGAGCCCAAAAACATTTTGCTATTTTTTTTTCATCATCTATAGCTAAGGAACACCCTAATGTATATACTTTTCCCTGGTTAATGTGCCTAATTGATAAAAATTCTTAGAGTATAGTATGTAATTAAAAATGAAACTATTTTAGTAGCTATTATGTTGACAATTTGTATTAACTTAATCTGTGGACTTAATTAAAAAAATTGGTAAACTTAAGTTAACAAAGAGAAAAAACTATTAACTTGTCCTACTAAATTTAATTGCAAACATTTTTATTCAGGTTCTATATTTTAATAAAACCATAAAAATATATATAAAAAAAAATTTTTAATCATTTACCTATTATGATGCCAATTGATCATATTATCAATATAAAACAGAAACAACAACATGCATTAATTGTATTTGTAATATTTTTTATTGAGTAAAAATAATAGTTTCTACTTTATGAAATAAACAATTAAACAAAGTGAATTCAATGAAATATTATGTAGGTAATACTAAATTAAAATATAAAATAAAAAGCAGCCATTTCAACAATGAGTGGTTTAAGAATAGGCAATAGGAACAATAGTATCTGAAGTACAAACTGGATATTATAGTAATTAGATACCTAGGTGTCAACTGCTTCATTCCAATGTTGCATTGAAAACAACGACATACAATATGTCATTGAATCAAAAACTATTCTCAACAATTTTTTCAAAGCTACGAAAGAGTCAAAGTGGAAGAAACAAACATCATAACCAATTCAACTACGCAATACAAAATAGAAATAATATATGATTAAATGTTTAAGTCCATTATAATGCGCATTCATCTAGTAATGGTAAGAAAATAAACAGTGGAAAAAAATATAAAAACGTCATGTTTAATATAAACCTAAAATAACAATTATTAGTATTATTTATCGAATCCCAGACGAAAAGTAAGGAATGAAAGAAGTGTGACAAATTATCCGGATTAATTTTTAGATTGCCGCCGGACAATAAAAGTCCCAGTACATTTTTACTGTTGGACAAAAAGTCTGAAAATACAAAATTGTCTGTTTTCCAAAACATTTTTTTTTTTTCACAAAAGAAATAAATTTAACTACCTAATATAAAATTAGTCCACAATATTGATAAAGACGTACCTATTATTAAAAAAATCAAATTTACTCCACAAATTATTAAACAATCAAATTTACAATAAGAAATAGGTAATAAAATATAAAAAAAAAAAACATAATATACCGACTATAATATATAATATTACATTAGGTACCTATATGGCTATATTATAACATTATAAATATTAGACAACTTTGTACCTATGTTTGGACTTTTTGCCCGACAGTAAAAATGTACTCGGACTTTTTGTACCGGCAATCAAAAAATGAACCCAGACTTTTTGTCCAAATTTTTTCATACCCGACTTTTTGACCGATTATCACAACGATCAGACAAAATCAAAGAAGGTTTTT